TGGAAGCCGGTCAACCAATCATGAAGGTGATAAATTTTTGTAACCAGGTGGAATTGAACCCTAGACCTTCTCCTGGTAACCTATGGAGCACTACCACTGTGCTATAGACCCATAGGTCATTAGCAATACTATTTATTATTAATTTATTTCAAATCTTTTATAAAAACTAGCTCACTAATGATTGAAATTAGATGAAGTGAATCAGTACTAAAGATTAAACAATACTTTATTAAGCTACAGTAACTGTTTGTAAAAAACAGACATTAATAAAAAATAGATACTACATCTTTTTGCCAATTATTAGTACATAAAAAAAATATATTATTCTTATTCATGTATATTGATTGAAAGACCAGCAATTATTCTACGGGAGGTACTATACACCGTGACGTATGGTATTTATATTATATATGCATTAGATTATCTTATTACAAAAGTTTTTGCACTTTGATCTTAATTCAAGATTTTCTAAATAATTAAAGATCAAGTTTTATTTAATTTAATAAAAAAATATTTCAGCTACAATTCAACTTAGAAAAAAAAAAGCAAAAGGTTGTACAATTATTGGATTACCTTAGAAGTAATGTCATATGAAAACAAAATTTTCATATATCAATCTTATTATAAATGACATTTTGAACCATCTGATTTACACTTTGAATAATGAAAAATAGGTTTACCATTTTCCACTATCCCACGTAACCTTGAAATTTTGTGAATTAGCTGTCTGATTATAAATAAATTTATTGAATTAGTACATGAAGACGATTTGGAACAGGAGGAAACAGAGTGGCAGCCTTGTATTTTACTTTGCAAAGAGCTTGTGTAATCTCAAATATTATACTGAAGTGTTGGAAATTGGAAAATATGTGCAACAGTTATTAAATAAATTCTATATAAGTATGTTTTATTTCATTTATACTGTTCTGGCTACCCTGTTGGTCACATGCTGACAGTGGAAAAGGTTGTGTGCTTGTTAATAAACAGTATTATAAATAGTATATTAGTTTTTGTACACACTAACTACCCTGTTGGTCGCGTACTGGCAGTAGAAAAGGTTGCATGCTTGTTGATTAATGTACTACCTTGTGGGTTGCATGCTCATACAGGAAAAGGTTGCATGCTTGTCCATATGTTTTTTTAGAGTTTTGTCACATATATTTATATGAGAAACAATATTAACCATCATTTAATTCAATCTATCTAAGAACGAAAAAAAATCAAAAGAAATAAATACTTTTTGGGATCTGCAGGCTAAGCAAAACATTCTTATGAAGCTTAAATTGGTTGAGAAAAAAAGAGAATTGCTTGTCAAAGAACAAGTAAGTTATTTCGAAATAAGTGACTTTTGTGCTTTCTACACTTTTTATACTTTTTAACAACATTGTTTAAATAAAGAACAAAGTGAAGGACCTGATTTTTCTTGAATAGGTTATTATATTATATCTTCATTACACCTAACTTTAATATTATAATGCCTAAAAGTTTGTTCTATTTTAGACTCGACATGTTTTGAATGCATCGATAGAGACTCGGGATCAATGTCTTTTGGTACAAAAATCGATTACTAGAAAGCGTTTGTTGGATGAGTCTAGTGAGCATACCCATAAGGAGTTGATAATGATTGGTTTTTCAAAGTTTATTAATTTCATGACCTTTTTTATTTTGATATATTGTCTTACAAACTCTGTAATACTATTTAAGCAAGTAATTCATGCATATATAGTAATTGTTACAAACAGTAATGTTAATATAATAATAATTATTAAATGATTTACAGTAAAATATAATTGAATAAAACATAATATATAAAAAAATTTTATTGTTATTTTTTATTTGATCTATCTTAATTCACTT